TACCCAACATGTGTTAGAGAAGTGAGATCTTTCTTGGGCCATGCGAGATTCTATAAGAAATTTATCAAAGATTTCTCGAAGATCACGAGACCGATGTGCCTCCTTCTCCAAAAAGATGTTGACTTTGATTTCAATGTAGCAGATCAAGAGGCCTTTGACAAACTTAAAGACTTGCTCACCTCCGCTCCAATAATCCAACCTCCAAATTGGGAGCTTCCTTTTGAAATTATGTGTGATGCAAGCAATTTTGCCATTGGAGCGGTTTTAGGTCAAAAGGAGGGCAAAGCATCACATGTTATCTACTATGCCTCCAAAACCTTGGATAATGCTCAAGCCAATTATTCCACCACCGAGAAGGAACTTCTAGTCATTGTCTTCGCCTTGGAGAAATTCCAGCAATACCTTCTTGGAACAAAAGTGATTGTATACTTTGACCATGCGGCCTTCAAGTATCTAATGACCAAGAAAGATGCCAACCCACGGTTAATTCGGTGGATTCTTCTTTTACAGGAGTTCGATCTTGAGATAAAGGACAAAAGTGGTACCAAAAACCTAGTTGCGGACCATTTAAGTCGGTTGAATATTGGTGGTTCTTCTTCTTCCATTCTAGATGAATTTCCGGATGAACACCTCTTCTACATTTCAAACACCATTCCTTGGTATGCGGATATTGTCAATTACTTGGTTACTAAAGAAATTCCACACGCATTTACCAAGTACCAAAAGGCCAAGTTGAAGATTGATTCCAAATACTACGTGTCGGACGACCCTTATCTTTGGAAACATTGTCCGGGTCAACTAATACGGAGGTGTTTTCACCAAAATGAAGTCGAATCAATCTTGAAGTTTTGCCACGAGTATGCATGCGGAGGACATTTTGGTCAAAACAAAACCATGCGAAAGGTGCTAGAATGTGGAATCTATTGGCCAACAATGTCAAGAGACACCTATCTATTTTGCAAGAGTTGTGATAGATGTCAAAGAATGGGAACCGTATCCATGAAGAACGAAATGATTCAAAGCTCTATCCTCATTTGTGAGATCTTTGATGTATGGGAAATTGATTTCATGGTCCCATTCCCCATCTCTTTCGGTTATACTTATATACTCTTGGCGGTTGATTACATATCAACGTGGGTGGAAGCAAAGGCTACAAGGCATGATGATTCTAAAACTGTAATTGACTTCTTGAAGTCCAATATTTTTGCAAGATATGGTGTACCGAGAGCCTTGGTGAGTGAGAGGTTGCAACAAAATGATGGAAGCCATGATGAAGAGATATGGTGTCACACACCGGATTTCAATCGCCCATCATCCACAAACAAACGGCCAAGTCGAAGTGTCAAATCGATAAGTCAAACAAATTCTTGAAAAGACGGTCAACACCACACGAAAAGATTGGAGCTTGAAGTTAGAAGATGCATTGTAGGCGTATCAGACTGCCTATAAAACTTCAATTGACATGTCTCCATTCCGCCTCGTCTATGGAAAGTCTTGTCATTTACCGGTGGAATTGGAACACAAAGCATATTGGGCGGTTAAAAAGTGTAATTTCAATATTGAAGAAATCGGGAAGCACCGAAAGATGCAACTTCAAGAAATCGAAGAGTTGAGGAACGAGTCTTATGAAAATGCAAGCATCTACAAAAAACAAGACAAAAGCATTTCACGACAAGCACATCACTCGAAAACATTTTATTCTGGGCCAAAAAGTTCTTCTTTATCATTCATGATTAAAGCTATTCCCAGGAAAGTTGCGATCTTGATGGCATGGACCTTTTATCGTTATAAAAGTGTTTGATCACGGTGTGGTTGAAATTAAGAGTTTGGAAGCGAATCAAATATTCAAAGTGAATGGGCACCGTTTGAAACCATTTTATGAACGCTTTGACACGAGAAAGATCGATAACGTAACATTGGAAACTCCGATTTACGAAGGTTAACGGAAGCAGGGCTATGTCTTGGCAAAGACGTTAAATAAATGCATAATAAAAAAAAAGTTGTGTGGGTACCCGCGCAAGCGTTGCACGATCCAGACCCAGCCGTGCAAATTCTGAGCTCCAAATTATCCTCACATGGGATGCCATCTGATTGTTGCACACGACCTGACTCCACCCTCGCAGCTACTTGCGCGGCCAAGAGCAAAATTCCATTTTCCTTTGCGCAACCAGTACCTTAGCCATATAACTCAATACCCGATCCGTACCCACCCGCATACCCAATCCAGGCCCGACCCTACCTACAAACCTACTCGATAACCTGACCTATCTAAAAACCACCCTTATAACTCCATTAACCCGTCGGACCCCTCCTTCCCCCTTTTTTGACTCCCGTCTGCAAAGAATGGTGAACACAATGCTCCTAACTCCCGTCTGCCACCGATTCCGGCTAGCCGTCGCAATCCAAGCCGCTGCCTCCAGCTGTCGCCACCGGTCGGCGCTGCCGTCCTCGTCGACCTCCGCTGCTCACCATCCACCTACCTCTTTCTTCTCCAGCCACAACCCGCCAACGGTACCTCCCCTTCACCGGCAGAAACCCGATTCAACCCTCCTCCCTTGCTGTTATCGCAGATTACACCCCACCACCCTACTTCCCTACTAATTCCGACCAAACAGCACCACTTCTCCACCGGGAACAGCTAGCTCCGCCACCACCCTCTAACTCGCCGGAAAATCAGAAAAACCTTCATTCCGCCACCACCTTCAATCAAAATTAAAAATTTCTTGGGGTATTCTTCGCCAAATACTTTCGGGCACACCGATCTATAGTACATTTGGCCAAATTCGATCGCCGGAAAACCTAGCACCGCCACCGGCACCGCCTGCCGGCATGCCGACCGCCGCCACTAATTTTGACCAAAAATTTTCAAATTTTTTTTTCTCACCGGAGACTCAAAAGACTTAACCTTACAGGTCCAATTCAAGCTTAGGGTGCGGTTTTAGCGGTTTTATTTTCGGGTTTCGACACTCGAATTTGGTACATCTCTTTTAATTTTATTGCATTTCATTTCTAATAAACTAGACTTATGCTAGGCATTAGAGTGATTAGAATTGAATTGCTTTGAATTGATTGGATTACATTTCCTTGAATTGTGCCAAATTGGAAGTTTGGAATATTTGCCCAGTTTATACTTTTATTTTTGTTTGAATTGATTGGATTGGTGTGAGGGATAATTTTGGCCAAGTTTTTGTCTTTGCTAGGTGCTATTTACAGGTACAATGGGAAAGAACAAAACATTCATGCGTCTCATGGTTCTTCCCGTGAAGGTTAATCATCGTGATCAACAAAAAAAGTGTCCACCGACCATGTCGATCGTGATAGTAACCTTGTTCCCACTAGTGCACAAATCAAGCAATTCAAGTCCAACCTCCAAAAACGTGCGATCCGAGCCACAAAATTTTACCACCAGGAGTCGATGACCCACCTTGGCCTTGACGATTTCTTGCAACAACTGTTCTTCAACATAGGTTGGCACGATTACCTAGCTCTTTCCGCGCGCACATATAAGCAACCCACACTTGAGTTCCTCTCCACTTATGCGCGGAATGACATGGAGAAGGTGCTCACATTTAGGTGTTGTTTGTTTTTTCTGAGGCAAAATGTCTGCAGTCTGCGGACCATATCTGTAGACCTCTGCAGTATAAGAGGTGGACCAAACGTCTGCAGTATGAAAAAAAGAAGACTGTTTGATTTTTTAACATCTGCGGGCTACTAAAATAAACTGAAATCTAAATAAACTGGTTTTTTTAAACTTCAAAGTGATTTTTTAATATTTTTATGAATTTGTTATAAATAATAAACGAATCTAGATCGACTTTTATGTATTATTATATAAAAAATAAAAATAAAAATGGTATGAATTAACGTATATATTTGATAAAAACCAACAACTTTGGTTGCAAAGTTATAACTAACCATTATGATTAGCGATCAAAGAATTTGATACATAAATTGATGCAAATAAACTTCGATATTTTCAATTAAATCCATTAAAAACCTACCATAAATATTTTCTCGAGAAATTGACGATACTGTATTAAATAATGTTTTACAAAATTTGGCAAAAAAATATAAGAATATATTATGAATTTTTTCATATTTATATAAACAACTTCAACGGCTATTATTGTAATAAATATTTATTTATAAATTTGTCAAAAATATCATGTATTTATCGTCGAACGTTTTTTTTTTTAAAGTTTCGTAATTTTTTTTTCAAATTGTTTATCATTAATAAAGTTGGAAAAAATATAAATTAAAAAAAAAACTTAAAAAAAAACAAAGATATATATGTTTTTTTAGGCTAGAAGATGTCTGAAGATGTTAGAAGACTTTGGTCCACATCTGCGCCAAGAAGAGGGCGTGCATACATTTTTAGGTCTGCAGACTTTAAAAAAACAAACAGTCTGCGAAGGCTAATATCTGCGCGTGGTCTGTGCGACGCAGACAGAAGAGGCCACGCAGATCTGCAGACAAAAAACAAACACTACCTTAGACTCCAGGGTCGGCAGCACCGACTCACATACGACACCCTCAACACTATCATGGGCACATACGATATGCACAACACCGATATCTATAGTTATCAATGGACCTAATTCAAGAGCAGGCCCAAAGTAGAGTTTTGGACTTAGATCACTAGTCTTCCAAACTTCAATCCAAGTCGACAAAAAGATCCTTACATCATCCATCCTTGTTGGAGAATCGCTCACCGGATCCTTTCCACTTCAATCTTTGGTCGTCACGAGCCAGGACAAATAAACACAGTCGAGCTATATTTCCTCTATTTCCTGACTAGCCGCCGTTGGTCTTGCCCCGGTTTCGCCACTTTTTTCTTGGATAAATGTGATAGCATACGCACGAAGACCACTGGCGACATTTGCATTGGAGGTCTCATTACCCTAATTGGATTGGGTATAGGCCTTTAATTTCCCGAGTCTGAGTATGTGCTAGTAGATGACCCACCTCTCTACCTCCTCGACTGCTTTGCTCTCACCCGGATGGAATTATTGGTACCTATCAACAATCGTCAGTACTCTTGGCTCAATCATGCCAAGGAATCAGTTTACACTTTACCTAATATCATCATATCTGCCTTTACCACCAGCGACCCGGAAACTTGGTTCTTGCCCGAAGAGTTACATGATGTTGATTTAGGAGATGATGATGACATGCAGGTAGACACTGGCCATGCTGGTAGCCTATTTGAGGCCGAAGACCATTATGACCTCCCAATCCGACAATTTCCGCCACCCTCTTATGCTCAGCCTATGGGAGCACACTTCGAGCCACAACATGAGTACCAGTCCTATCAACAACACAACGAGCCCGAACCTGAGTATCCTCTTGATATATATACAGTCAGATTGCGGCCTTGTGCCTCCAAGGCAACCGAAATACAGCAACCATTCGACGCATCGAGGAGAAGCAAGCTCGCACCAATAACTACATATAGGATCTTTGGCATCATTTTCAGTCTGAAGGCGGTTACCGTCCTCGCGGGCCTCCTCCACCTTGATCCTGTTACGATCCTTCCTTACTCTCATCCTAAGTATTAAGGACACTGCTTAATTTTAAGCTTGGGGTGAGGTATTCTTATATTTTATTTTTTATTGCATTTAGGTTGTGTATAGTTGCATTTAGAGTAAGTCATTTAGGTCATTCATTATAATTGCATAAAAATTCAAAAATATTGCATATTTTGTTTCTTTCTTTTCTAATTTTCATACTTTTTAGATGCATTCTAGTTTAAGTTCATGCATTTTTGTTCTCTCTTGTCTTCTCATCCTTATAGGTACCATAGCGCCGAGTCATAAGTATTGAATCATAGATTGGTCCCGGGTCTTGATATGGAATTCCTTGTATTGGATAAATGGGACACGTTTTGAGTCTCACAGACCACTTTGAGACCACTTGTGTGGGGGTCATATGCAGGTAGCTTGATTGGGTCTAGGCGCGGAGGGATGTGGTTGGTCAAACCGATGTGTGCGAGCAAAGATTAGCCCGGTAAGGTATTTTGAATACATTGAAGACTCACATCTTGATTTTGGGGGGAGTACCCCTTAGTATTCCCGAGTCTCGTCCGAGCCTTGCTTAGTTAGATTCTCACCACCTTTTTAGGATAGGTCATCATTTTTCTAGGGGTCTAGAATAGATAGTTAGATAGATTTTGTTTATCACACCTTGCATTGAGATGCTTGATGAACTTTGAAGTGGGTCCCCTAATTCACATCTTTTGGGACTAAGTCTTTTCGGTAACACCCATTTTTGAGTCATTCCCCATCCTCTTTAGTAGATCTTGACACATTGTCAATGATCATTAGGTGTTCATGTTAGCCTCCATCTATTACTCCATTTTCATTATTAGAGTCATATGTTACTTGGTGAAATTCCTTAGACCTTCCAAGAAGAAAAGACAAGAAGAAAACACAAAAAAAAAGAATAAAGAAGATTAAATAAAAGCAACAAAAACAAAGAAGAAAAATGAAGAAAAAGAGCAACAAAAAAAGAAGAACAAGAATTCAAGTTCAAGACTTCTCTTCAATTGCCAAAAAAAATCGAGCTACAAAGAGGCTGAAGACCAAATAATAGAAGTTCAAGATTGAAGATTTAAGTTGTTAGGTTTAGGTTTAGGTTAAGTAGAATTTTTATTATTTTATTTTTATTTTTGATTTTTGGTGAGAAAAGGCTATGACGACGAGACGGTAGATTTTAAAGGACAGTACAAGGGAGAAGCCTCTCAAACCAGATGTTTGCCCGGAGGCCGTGCTACAAAAACCCTATTTCGTTACTATACACTTTAGCCTGACAAATGTAGGAATCATAGTGTGTGAAAAGGTGCCTTTCCGTCATGCATTATGGTCTGCATTGGTGATTTATAGTGCCCCCACTGGGCGCATCCTCTGTTTCCTTTATCTTACACACCGCGACTACATCCAAATGTGATCATTCGCCCTTTAAGTGGTCTGAGAATGTGGTTTATGGCTCTAAAGTGGGTAACATTTTGAAGATACGTAGGGTCCGTGAAAGACTGATTCAGACCATGTTGACTGATGTTGACCAAGTTCTATGGTATCTTTCTTTTTCTCTTTTAGCTTAGCTCATCCCTAGCGCATTTTAGTCGTGTTCTAACTTGAGGACAAGTTAGGTTTAAGCTTGGGGTGATTTGATAGTTTATTTTATTTCCTTCTTTTTATTAGCTTATTTTAAATTTTTAGGTCTTTTTATCAATATTGCATTGTATTTTATTTATTTTCTTTATCATCGATCATACCGAGGATTTTCTATTTTGCATGAGATATTTTACAGGGTTTTGGAGCTCATTGCGGTTGTGGTTTGACTGGAGTTGCGCTTAGTGGGCTTCTCGATTCACTATTGAGCTTTGCGGATCCATCAAAGGAGATTTGGGCTTTAAAAACTTGAAGGCTTGGATGAAGTGCGCTTGTGAAGATGGGTCATGGATTGTTATTTTGGGCTTGGAGCATCCATATTTGAAGCTTAAAGGTGATTGGCCAATTTCAAATCATATGAGTCATGGAGGGGACCAAGGGAATCTTGAGTACTGGAATGGTTAGTGGAGAGGAAAGGACCAATAGCATTCCAACAACACTTGCGAGGGTAGAATCTCAGGCGCGCGGGTACCCATGTAGCTGCACACTTTTGGGCATTTTGGTCATTTTGTTTACCATTTACCTTGGGGGTGGGATCTTTCAGCAACAACTTCGATTTTTCACCATTGGAGACCAGAAGAGGCGATCTTTGGAGCTTGAGACTCATTTCTTCTCATCTTTCTAAGCAATTGGTAGTTTCTTGATGCAATTATACTTTTGTGATTGTTATTTTGTTGCCATGAGTAGCTAATTTCTCTATTTTGGTCAACCTTAGCTAAAACATTTGAATGTTTGTGGGTTTTTGAAGTATTCATGCTTATTTATCATTTATCTTATGTTTATGATTCTAGTTCATATTTATTATGCTTGTTTAATACTTTGATCATGAGATTGGTACTTGAATGAGCAATTGTTGGTTTATTTCTTTGGTTTATCATTGAATCATTGAATTTACTTAGAACAAGAGCTTTATGATGGTAGAAATCATCTCTAGCTTATGAATCATAGCTCCTTTATGAATGTGTAAGCATTGACATCCTCTAGAAATTGGGGATTCCTTCATTCTTAGGTTCAATTGCTTTAATTGGATCCTTGATTTTGATTAAGAAGGTGTGTTGTGGGCTTCCCCAACTTCCATACTACCTATGAGGAATCTTGGCGTATCATTCTTCATGATTGTTATAACCAATTTGGGATGAATGATAAGCTTCATATTGAATCCTAATGATAAACACACAAATGTTCATTGTGTTTAATTGCCTTGGTTAGCCAATTATCCCCAATATTTGAGCATCTCATCATCTTGCTTAATTGCAAGCTTTTTAGTTATTCAAGTCTTTTAGTTATCAAGCAATCAAAACCCCCCTTTTAGTTTAATTGTAGTTAGGTAGTTTATTTACACTAGTTCTATTATATTGCATTGGTGATTATATACAACCATTTCCCCGAGGATCGATACTCCTTTTTACCATTATATTACGTTTTATTTGCAAACAAATGGTGTAATTTGCTTGGTGGACTTGACAACCCACCAATATGATTTTGGCAAAATATAAGTTTAAAGGAGTTTTTAAGACATTTAAAGGAGTTTGACAACATTTAAAATAGTTTCCGTAACTTGAAGTTGTAACATCCCAAGTCCATGTATACCTTGTAAACCTTGATCTATTGAGCATTTGTCAATTTTGGCCCTTTTTAGAGAAAAGGTGGTAAATGAGTACACGGGGCGTACTAGAGTGTAAGCTCAGCATACCCATATGCATGCATTCGACGTGGAGACCACCTAGTACGCTGGGTGTACTAGGCCCAGAGTAGAAACCCTAATTTGGGGTGTGACCCTATATAAAGGATATGATGGCCTCATTCCTGGCCACCATTCCCAGACACCAAACCATCCTAACCCTAAAGGTTCGTTTTTATAACTTGTGAGTGCAATTGAGAGCTTGTGAGTGTAATCTTGTGTTCTTGGGGTGGAGAAGAAGCTTTAGAGAAGAAGAAGTAAGAATTCAGGCTTTTGGATCTGTGCTTAGCTGTGTGGAAAGCTTCACATAGAGGTATAAAGCTTCAAGCTTTCCCACTCTTTTGATTTGTACATTTATATGGAGTATTTTAGGGTTTTGTCCCAAAAGATGGAGACTTTATGAGATAATGAGCTCCAGAGACCTTGATCTACCCCGTTTTAGTGTATTTTGTAGAGTAAAGTCATAAAAATCCAATCTTTGACGTTAGGAGTAAGCCATGCATGAGATATGATCTTAATGAGGAAAGAGGATGAGTATTTTGAGCATTTGTGACCTAATCAGCCATGCAAAGGCTTAAAGTCACTGACTTTATCGATTAAGAGATATTAAGGGGTCCAGATCTTTGGTATAAGCCAAGGTCTTAACGGATTAAGACCAAAAATGTGAGAAGAGTGAAACCGGGACGTACGCTGGGCGTAGTCCCAGTACGCACAGCGTAGGGGTGGAGCATCCCCGATACTTGCATGGCAGTCGAGTACGCCCAGCATAGAGAGTTGGTACGTGCAGCGTACTCCCTGCCGTTGACTTTCAGTTGACTTTTAGGGTTTGGTCAAATTGTGGACTATAAGGCCATGGAGGGGTAAAATGGTCTTTTTCCTTTCTGTGAGTTTGTAGAAGGGTTAGTTTAGCTTCAGGGAGAGCCTTATTAATTAGGGATTATTATCTTTGTGTTAGGATGAGGCTAGACCGGTGATTTGAGTTCGAGATTATCCAAGTTCTTACGAGGTGAGTCTTCTCACTATACTTACCTTGAGTGGTAATCTACGTGTGACCGGAGGGTCTTATGTGCATATACTGTGTATTGAGATATCCTGCTTATTTGTCTTTGTGATATGTATGTTGTGTTTATTGAGCTACTGAGTTGAGGGACCGGAGGGTCCGTCTGAGTTGTGAGATCAGAGGATCCCACTGAGACACATTGACCGGAGGGACTTGCAGAGCTATAGCCTCGAGTGGCTAATTCTTTTGTGCATGGTATTTTGGGGAACTCACTATTCTTCGTGTTTACCGTGTTACGTGTTATGTGTTTCAGGTACTTCCGAGGATTGCGGGAAGGCCCTGGCTTGATTGTGCACACACACTTGTATTGGAGATATGTATTGGAGGATCCTGGATTGTGATAAACAATTTTTGAAAAATGTGTTAATGTTTGATACTTGAGATTTTTGAGAAATGTGACATGTGTTATTATGTGTTGAAAAATGAAAATTTTGATTTGAAAAACTTACGTCGTTACAGAAGTCGTTTTAGAAATATTTAGAAATCATTTGATTATGAACACAATATTCTTGTGTTAGTGTAAGTCCCAAATTTTTCTTGACGTATCAATCAGATCCAATTGATGGTGCGGAATTCCAATCTATTGGATGATGCAAGATCAAAATGGAGAAGAAGAAGAAGAAGAAGAAGAAAAAGAAGATGAACTTG